ATCCACTTTATAGTTGAGGTTATAGTCTCATCCGCATACAGTAAAACCTAAAGAAGAGATCAATAATAAAATAGAATTCATAATGTTAAATAGTGTCTTATAGATTTATCAGAGTTGGGTGTCTGTTTGTCTTCACTCACTGGCCAACTATATCTTACTTTCAATTATATAACTCAGTGACGAAGATTTGGGATCTCAATCCATGAAATCACTTAATGTTATGATGTAAAATTCTTGGTTCTGGTATATAGAGATGGTTGTAACCAATGATTATGTATCTTTTATTATCGTGACATAATTCGAACTTAGTAGCATTGATGCGACAATGTATCATTTACGAAAAAAAAGCTTCATCTGAATATGTAATTGCTTCTTGATGTTTCTGTTCACATTTATTCTCGAATCCAGTCAGTTAGCTATCAATTAAACTGTAGAATTCAAGTAACCACTAGCTTGTTCAGCACATATAGTGCTCCTATCACTTTTGGTAAACATTGGTTAGAAATGTTGGATAACTTCGTTCAGAATCAGTTATTAACACATAAATGCATTTACTCTCTGTTTTCCTCCTTGGATCTTGAGCTTTAAAATTATTGTATACTTTTTATTCCTCGAATTAATTATTCCTTCTCAAATCATATTGTTTATGATTAATGTTTTGTACTACTATTGATACTATTACTACATCTACTACTTTGTCAGTTGTCTTGATGATTTCATCTCAATATGATGATATTGTCTTACTGTGCGATAATGCCCAAGCCATGCAATCCGCACTTAATCAGTTGGAAATTAATGTCCGTTGGCACGGTATGTACTTTGCATCTTCAAAGTGCAAAGTACTTCTACTAGACTGGCAGGATTCTAATCCTGTACTCACCCTGGATGATGATCAGATAGAAGTAGTCGAGAAGTTCGTGTATCTAGGTAGCTGCATAAGTGCTGGTGGTGGCGTGAGTGATGAGATCAATGCACGTATAGTGAAAGCCAGAGTGGCTTATGCCAATCTGGGCCATCTTTGGCGCCTTCGTGATGTTAGTCTGGCTGTAAAAGGTCGGATCTACAACGCGTCGGTGCCCTATTGTACCAATATTTATATGTTCAAATAAATAATATTTCTATATGAGTACTTGAACGAATGTGCAAATTTAACTAAATTATGCGTTACTTATCATTAACTCTTTTAAATTTAATCTTGAATTGACTAGGACATTTGTAACCGAAGTATATTCTCACTTCCCATTTTATTTAATCACAATTCCTTTTCTATCAAATATATTGATTTCACCTGTTTATCTATCGTTTATTTATTTAAACACATATTAATACAAGGGGAAACCAAATGTATATGCGCCTCACACACCATTTGATTTGTATGAGGACTGAGATACTTCACGGGCACCCCAAACTGAAGCAAGTGGTTTTCTTAGTGAGTTACTCCACAAGACAGTGGAGTAACGTTAGGAAATGCGGAGCCATGGTAGCTGATAAACAAGAATAGGTCTATACACCATTTGTTTTCTTAGGATTGTGATGCCTATATGCGCCATTGGTTTGGTATTAATTCAGTCAGCTACAACGTAGGAACGGGCACATATATGCAGCGGTCCAAGTTGTCATACCGCATTAGCACAGCAAGATGAACACCGGATTCATAGAAGTAGTTAATTCAATGGTGGTAATACATAAATGAAAGATTGTATATAGGGACATAGTACAGGAAGAAAGAATCAGTATGTAGAAAGATATGATGCGGTTTTAATCTCATAGTTTAAGGGAAGACAGTGAGTGTATACACCTACATCATTGTGATCGATTCTGAGCAATTTCACCCAGAGTCTCCAATAATTGGTTACGATAGTCACGTGGACCCTAACTAAGTAGTTTGAATCTACCAACATGGCTCAGAAATTAGTGAAGTTAGTGACTTCAATGACTGATGCTACGTTTTGGTTTGGCCGCCCCTAACATTCTACCAACTATCCCCTACATTAGTCAACATTGAGCGTCGTAGTAATCGGTGTTAAGGCATACGTAACACGTGGCCCAACCATCTCATTCTATGAAGATTCCCAACCTCATCAATTGATTTATCATCATTCCATACAACCCTGCGTCTGACCTCCCTATTACTTACCCTATGATCCCAGTAAATGCGAACAATATTTCTAAGGTATTAGGTTTTATCGACATCCCTAGATAGATCCTCTTTACTCATCAAATCAATTTAATCCTTGAATATTCACTTTTTATCCTTTGAATTTTGTAAACAATACTCGATTAACGAAATCATTGATTAAGATTTCCCTGGCAATAGGATTTATATATGTATTGTCGATTATGACAATTGAATCAAGCAAAACAATAATTGAATAATTTATCAAATTTAGATATAATTATTATCAAGGTTATATATTTTAACCACTAATAGCTACCATTATCTTTATTACTGTTACACTAAAGTATTACACAAATTTTAGTTTATCTAAATGCTTTGATCTTCCTTTTTTTTTTAAAACTTTTCATGGATTGTCTGTGTAAATGGAATAGAATAGTAACTATTATTATTATTATTATTATTATTATTATTATTATTATTATTATTATTATTATTATTATTATTGTATTTGCTCATGTATATCTTTGATTTCTCTTCCATTAGGAATGTTTAATTATTAGTGTAATTCTTAATTGAAGTGAATTTACGTAGATCCTAACTACTTTTAATCATCCCTATTGTTGTTGTTAGTAGTATTATTGTTATTTATGTCTTTCTACCCTCCTTCCTCCCTCACCCCGTCCACCCCAAGTAAATTAAACATTGATATACTGATGCAATTATGAACCTATTGATTAAGTGTTCCCTCTCTGGATCCCTGTTTTTCATTACATCGAATGGTCAAACTATGTCTTTACATCAGCGCCCACACAGGAAATTAATTATTATTTTTGTTTCTATTCATGTACAGATTTATACATATAATTGAAAAAATTATTTTTTACAACCTATTTATTTAATTTAATTATTTTGTATATATAATATAAAGTCCAGGTATGCTTGTTTGTTTCTATGTACATACGTATTTATATTTCTCTCTTCATGATCTTTAAATTAATTATTGCATATTAGTCAATATCTAAATTTTATTAGTTGAGATCATGAGTCAATTGAAGATAGACCATCATGGAAAACCTGGAAGCATTGGATAGTCGTTTTGTCCTGTTGTGGGATTCCTTAGCAGTGAGCGTCCATGATCCCGCCTCGCGAGGTTCGAACACCATTCGGATACTGTTTTAATAACTTTAATGGATACGGAGGATCCACTTATGGGAGTTGGAAAACACTTATTCCAAACCAATGATGTGCATGGTCTCCAGAATCCTAAGGAAACAAGTGATGTATGAACCAATTGTTGGTTACCGGCTACTAATGGACTACATATCCTAACGTTGCTCCATTGCCTTTTGGATTAGACTTTTAGGTTCAGGGCTCCGGGTGTGGCCCTCTAATAAAACCACCTGTTTCGGTATGAGTACCCGGGCAGTATCCTTATTCTCACACAATTCTAACGACTTATGTCGCACATATCTATTTGGTGTCTTCTTGCACCAGTGCTTATGTGTTTAAATAAAATAAATAAATAAATAATGATTTCAGTAGTTAAACATTTGCCGTAAAACCTCTAAATATTGGATCATGTTCCCGGTTAAGTCATCAATGAGGATTGTCATTAATGTTTAGCGTACCTACATAAAACAATATTCCTGTATTCATTAATTTCTTAACTAAAATCAATTGTTCACATATTCAACTTACAATCCTAATTTTACTTAAATTTGGGGGGCCCCAAATACCCTGGTACGGCCGAGAGTGGGGAGAGTCCGCTCTCCCTCTCGAAATGCTCTCACATGGCCATGCGTATATAGCCTCTGCCAGGGAAGTCCTACTCACTGCCTTCTCGTGGCGGGGGTGTTGTTTACGAAAATGAGAGGACGAAAAACGAATGTCCTGCGCTATAACCGGATCCGAATTCAATGGTGCACATGGGCTGGCTCCAGTATCCTGCGGGAACAAATGGCGTATGAACCAATCGTTGGTCACCGGCTTCCATGGGACTGCATCTCTTCACGATGCTCCACTGCCTTGTGGATCAGACGTTCAGGTCAAAGGTTCTTGGTGTGGCCCCCTAAGAAAACTACCTGCTTCATTTTGGGCACCCGAGCAGTATCACAGCCCTCACACAAATCAATTGAGATTTGTGTGGCGCATATGTATTTGGTGCCTCCCTGTACCTATACTTATGTGTTAAAATAAATAAAATAAATTGCTTAAATTTATATTAATGGTTTGTGAATTTCAATATCCTTTACTAGAAACAGTAACTATTATTATAAGTAAAACTAATATTATTTGTAGATATATTAATGAATAAAAAAATTCTGACGTTTTGCCACTCACTGTAAGTCACTTCTTCAAAGAATAAATAACCAATATATATATATATATATAATACATTGTAACCTTCTACTTAGTTATTTATTCTTTGAAGAAGTGACTTACCCTAAGTGACGAAACATTAGGAAATTCTAATTTTTTTTCCTACTCATTAAAATATTTACAAAAGTATGATTTTTATTTATAACATTCTATTCAATATTTAATTTATTTGAAATTATCAAGTTAAACCTTGATAACAAACCTTAGCAACTATCATTATTACTATTATTAATTATATGTGAAAATTATATTTGAAATAATCTCAGCGATTGAAATTTAAACAATTCCAACGTTTCGTCCTGCTAACTTGTTTGGACTTCTTCTGGGTAGTAATCATTCATTATTACCCTGAAGAGAAGTCCAGACAAGTTCATATATAATGACTTCTTTATACTCAGCGCCCGATTTCTCTAGTTCTAATCTTGACGAATATTCGTATATTATTATTATTATTATTATTATTATTATTATTATTATTATTATTTGTTTATTTACAATTTAGTAGTTCAACTCCAGTTAATAATTCACGACGAAGTGTATCAGCTTGTAGTCTTCCACATATTGAAATTAATGCATTAAATGAAGATTCAGTGGATTTATTTTCACATCATCATAATAATCATAATCATCAAAATAATCATATGAATGGTCATTTTATAACTAATATACATCAAAATCATATTAGTCAATCTAATAAAAATAATTCATTAAATGGTAATAGTGAATGGAATTATTCAAATAAATTAATAACTAAAAAATCATTAAGAATAGGAATTGGTGATGAACAACCATTGACTCCACCACCGCCTAAATTAATGTCATCATCATCATCGTCGTCAAGAAAACATTTGACACCTTTATCAGGATCAATGATAAAAACAACAACAACATCAACAGTTTCATTACGAAATGAAATCAATTCATTTACTGATGATCATGGAACATTAGACATTATTCCTAAATTATCACCTAGTGTTAATTGTACTATGAATGATGATGATGATAATAATAATAATAATATTTGTGAATACAGTTTAAACAGAAAAGATTCATCTCCACAAGAATCGTCAATGCATGAATTGGCTAGTCTACTTCGTAATTCACCGGCTTCTGGAGTAAGTTACATTTATTTATTGTATTATGAATGGTTTGTATTGTTGTGGTTAATACCCTTGTGGGCTGGGGCAATTTTACATTGGTGCATATATATTTGATGCCCCCCTGTACCAATATCTATGTGTACAAATAAATAAATAAATAATAAAGTTTCAGGAGAACCAGACACCATCCAGACTCACGTGACAACCCAAAAAAGTACAGCTCAATCCCGTTTAACAGGAGAGCCAGATACCGCCCAGGTTTAAATTTTATAACCCGATTTCGGTTAGACCATTATTAAAAACCGTCAAGAAGTATTGGACATCTATTTTGTTTTAGTATAGGGCTTCCGGTAAATTTATGGATTCACATTATTGCGGAATTCTTATTTATTTAAACACATAAACATTGGTACAAGAAGGCACCAAATAGAAATGCGCTACACAAATCATTCGATTTGTGTTAGGGCTAAGAAATTGCCCGGGTGTCCAAACCGAAGCAGATGGTTTTCTTAAGAGGCCATACCTAGAGCCTTTGACCTAAAGGTCTAATCCATAAGGCAGTGGAGCAATGTCGAGAAATACAGTCCCATCGTAGCCAGTGACCGACAATAGGTTCATACGCCATTTGTTCCCTTAGTATCCTTAACTCCATGTGCACCATTGGCTTGGAAATAGGGTTTTCAAACTCCCCTAGGTGAACCCGATTAAAGCGTCGAACATTCGCTGTCGTCCTCTCAGTTTCATAAACAGTCGTTTGCACGTAACCATGTGAGAACATTTGGAGAGCAAGAGTTGACTGTCCCCACTCTCGGCTGTACCGGAGAATTCGGGGGCAAGTTGTTTGACTAAAATGAGTCTGTAATATGAACTGTGAAATTTAATTGTAAGATGAACCATCTTATTTTCAATATTCAATAAAAAGCAATATCTAGCATTTCCAAGCATTTTTCCCATTCATTCAGTTAATAAATGTTGCGTATAGTGTGTAATTTTCACTATGCATTTGATTTGAATTATCTAGAGTTATCTAAGTATGTCTTCTATGAACACCTTACACCACTGTAACGGATTGCAACTTGTTGAATGAAAAGAAAAATAAATACACAACTTAAATGAAAGTTAGAACTTGAAATGAAATGTTCGGTGAAAATCACCGTCTTATATTTATACGCAGCACTTACATAATAAATAAACAGGTCAGTCAGTCAGTAACATCGTGGAACTTCATACGTATGTACATCAGTTCGAGTAGCCACACCATATTAGCACAGAGATGCTGTTTTAGGCTCAAATCTCGTAGTGGTAGAGGTGGTAATAGTATAAGCAGTAATCGGAAACATTAGGGTTTCATGATGTTATTCAAGGAGTATAATCCAGTGAAATAAATTTGGAAAGGGAAAAAAAGAAACGGACATAAAGAATTCAGAAGATTAAAATTTGGGAGAACACAAAGAGTGGATGCACCTGCACCATTGCAAATAATTTTGAGCCATGTCATTCAGGAAACCTGACAATACTTAATACTGGATAAAAGTTGAATATTGAAAAAAAACTGATGATCCACGAATTCACAGACATGTATTTTAATTTATAGCAACTCTCTTACAATTATAGTCAAGTCCTTCAGTTAACTTATTTAAGTGATAGTGTTATTCGGATAGTAACGATTTGTCTATTTGCCCCCAAATGCCCTGGTATGGCCGAGAGCGGGGAGGATTCGCCCTCCCTCTCGAAATACTCTTACACGGCCACGCGTATACAGCCTCTGCCAGGGAAGTCCTACTCACTGCCTTCACGTGGCGGGGGTGTTGTTTACGAAAATGAGAGGACGAAAAACGAATATCCGGCGCTATAACCGGATCCAAATTCAATGGTGCACATGGGCTGGCTCCAGTATCCTGCGGGAACAAATGGCGTATGAACCAATCGTTGGTCACCGGCTACCATGGGAATGCATTTCCTTACGATGATACATTGCTCTGTGGGTCAGACGTTCAGGTCGAAGGCTCGGGGTGTGGCCCCCTAAGAAAACCACCTGCTTCGGTTTGGGCATCCGGGCAGTATCTCAGCCCACGCATTAAAATCATGATGAACTATTTGCTTATCGAAAATATTCCTTTCTCTCTGATTAACATTGAAATGACTCGTACTATTATTATTATTGTTCTTCTTCTTCTTCTTCTTCTTCTTCTTCTTCTTCTTATTATTATTATTATTATTATTATTATTATTATTATTATTATTATTATTATTTTACCACGTCATTTATTCACCCTCTCTTATACCTACTTTATGTATCCGTTCGACCTAGACAGCAGCTCGCCTTTGGTGAAAATTCAGCTTTATCTAAACGTTCTCGAGTCACTGCCTGGTTGAAAATTGTATGTTACCACCGAATATGAGTACTGAAGCAGTTTTTCTGAAACCGCGTACACCATTCAAATTGGCTGCCTTCAACATTCGCACGTTTATGCAGGTCGGACAACAGATAGGGCTGGCAATGTCTTTGGAAAGTCTTAATATTGATGTGTGTTGTCTATCCGAGACCCCTATTCAAGACTCTGGTGAAGTACTACAAGTTCGCTCTCCATCTGTCACTTCAAAAAGCTTGCTTTATGTGCGTTTATCCGGGGACTCTGGCATCTTCGTCTGGTCTTGCTGGCGTTGGTGTCGCACTAAGCGCTAGAGCTGAGGCAGCACTAGTCGACTGGATCCCCATTAACAGTCGGTTATGTGCTGTTAGATTAGAAAGTTCCATCAAAGTGAGAAGAAATAGGCGTGAGAAACGATGTCTTTTCGTCATCTCCGCCTATGCCCCGACAGATTGCAGCCCGGATGCAATCAAGGACGAGTTCTACCATCAGCTAACTGTTCTTCTCCAGAAAGCGCGTTCGACAGATATTGTAGTACTAGCTGGAGACTTGAATGCTTAGGTCGGGCGTCTAGGCACAGAAGAGAGTCGTTTAGGTGGCCGATGGGGACTCGTTGGTCGCAGGACAGATAACGGGGAACGTCTACTGCAACTATGCACAGACCACAACCTGTTTCTGGCTAGCACTAACTTTCGGCACAGTCATCGCCGATGTGCCACCTGGCGTCCCCCTTCTACATCTCAAGCCTGGATACAGATTGGTCAAATCGCGATCAGCTGCCGCTGGCGTGGTTTTGTACAAGACTGCCGCTTCTTTTAGAGTACCTATCTGGAATCTGATCATGCTCTGGTCTGCGCCAATCTCACCTTACTTTTCAGTGGACAACGAAGTGACCGCCACCACAGGATTGATGTTAGCAAGCTGGCTGCAACTTCTGTTGCTAGCAAGTACCGAACCGAGCTAGCTTCTAGGCTAGCTAGCATTCCACCGAAAAGTATAGATGAGCATTGGTTGCAATTGCATGACGCCATGAAAATGGCGGGTCAAGTCTGTTGTGGGTTCGCGAAACGTCCCGCTTACAAGCACTGGGTTTCTTCTGGTTCCTTACAACTGATTGAAGCCCGTCGGTCTACTCCGGATGACCGTGAGTTTGACCACAGACGAAGGATGTTACGTAATGGAATCGGGCAAAGCTTGCATAAAGACCGTGAAGCCTGGTGGTCGGAGCGTGCTAATGAGCTGGAAGCAGCAGCTGCATCTGGTAATTACCGGAAGCTCTTCCAACTCATCCGAGCCACTGGAAGCAAGAAGTCTGGTGTGAGCGAAACAATCTGCGAGGATGACGGAACGCCAATCACTAACATCCATCGACGTCTTGGACGATGGGAAGAATCAGGGCTGCCTTCGATTCGTTGGACAGAACTGTTCTCTGGGATTGTCTATTGAAGAAGGGTGTGCCTGAGAAGTTTATTAACATCCTAAAAGCCCTATACACAAGCACCTCAGGCAGAGTGAGGGCATACAACCACCTTTCTCCACTATTCCATTCAAACAGTGGAGTTAGGCAGGGTTTCCCAATCTCACCATTCCTCTTCAACTTTGCCATCGATGACATTCTGGAAACAGCTCTGGCGGATGTAAGTAATAGTGGTGTGGATCTGTTGCCTGGAGAAAGACTTCTCGACCTTGAGTATGCGGATGATATTGTCTTACTGTGCGAGAATGCCCATGCCATGCAATCCGCACTTAATCAGTTGGAAATCAATGTCCGTAGGTATGGTATTTGCTTCGCACCTTCGAAGTGCAAAGTACTCCTACAAGACTGGCAGGATTCTAATCCTGTACTCACTCTGGATGGTGATCAGATAGAAGTAGTCGAGAAGTTCGTGTATCTAGGTAGCTGCATAAGTGCTGGTGGTGGCGTGAGTGATGAGATCAATGCACGTATAGTTAAAGCCAGAGCGGCTTATGCCAATCTGGGCCATCTTTGGCACCTTCGTGATGTTAGTCTGGCTGTAAAAGGTCGGATCTACAACGCGTCGGTGAGAGCAGTTTTGCTCTATGCTTGTGAAACCTGACCTCTCCGAGTTGAGGATGTTAGACGACTCTCTGTGTTCGATCATCGTTGCCTCCGAAGGATTGCTGGCATCCAGTGGCAACACCATGTCAGTAATGCAGAGGTCTGGCATCGAGTGTTTGGTCACAGAGACGATAATGAGATTGGTGTCACCATCTTGAAACACCGACTTCGGTGGCTTGGACATGTTCTACGAATGTCGTCCCAGAGAATTCCTCATCGTGCATTATTTGCCGACTCTGGGACTGGTTGGAAAAAGCGGAGAGGTGGTCAGTATATGACATGGTGTCGTGGTATGAAAGAAAGCTTCGGATTGGGCACCCGGGCAGTATCACAGCTCTCACACAAATGAATTGAGATTCGTGTGGCGCATATGTATTTGGTGTCTCCGTGTACCAATAACTATGTGTTAAAATAAATAAATAAATGAAAGAAAGCTGCAAAGGGCTAGCTTCTGTTGGTCCTTCACGACTCCCTGGCTGGGGTCCGAGAGACAGTGTAACGCAGTGGCTAGAGACGTTATCAGATATTGCTCAGAATAGAAGCCAGTGGCGATCGTGCTGTAACCTTCTTTTACTTTCTCCATAAAACGTGATTGTATCTTCCTTAACTGACAGATCTCTGCTGATTGTACCTTTCCGTTTCCCCCACCATTGTTCTCTCCTTCTTTTTTTTTATAATTCCCCACGTTCATTACTTTTTATATATATTTTTTCTTTTTTTTCCTCTTCAAATTATCATTGTTTTGTGTGGTGCATATATATTTGGTGCCCCCCTGTACCAATATTTATGTGTTCAAATAAATAAATAAATAATAAGTATATTTGTATTATTTTATGATCACTAACGTGTATTCTTAATCACATGTGACAGCCTACACACATATCCTTCAACCTACCTTAAATGTTAATCGCTTAAATATCTCTTGATGAATCATTCTCCTTCCCATATATATATATATATATACTGAAATATTAACAATTGACTTTGTATTGTCTAGCTGCGTCTCGATTCGATTTGACTCTGAATCTGTCTCTGTATTCGCTTACTCGCGCTCATTAGGTTGTTTTATTTTTGTTTTACATATCGTTTGCTAAGTTTAATGTGATAACATTTGAGAACCAAGATGTCGTTACATCTTACTGCGCGTCAGTTACTATGCAATAAAATCGCTACTCGGAATATCGACCTGTATTGGCTTGTTCATGTACTAAACCAATGGTACGTTAAACAGCACTAGTAACCTTGTCGTGTCGGTTATTATGTTAAGCCCATATACCTTATTCTAGCTTTCGGACAGCTCAGTCTATTCATCATTCTACGTGAGTCACATTCTGATCGTGTTAGTTATTCGCTTATCGATCTTGACTGTTTTTATATGAGCACGTCGTAGGTGTGTGTACACTTCTTTTCCCATTACTCATCACATGTCTGTAACTTATTTTTGTGTGCCTATAAATATTGATTAACTCTTTGTTAAAGGGGAGTTGGCTTATCCGCCAACTCCGCTGTTCTTTGTTTCGCTTCGCTCCATTATGTTCGCTTCATATACAAAATTAATGTATTCAAAAGTCCATTCTCGTTATTTGACTTATTTAATTTCGTTATTGACTAACGCGATTCAAGTCGATGATTATATAGGAGGATAGGCGCCACATATATTTCGACAACGATCACTCATGCGATCAAATTGAAGTCAGATCTCGGACCACTGAAATGGAGAGCCCGTCAACAAACACTGTGCGATCTAAATGACGACAAAATTAAGTGCTCCGAAAACCTTCAGTCAATTGTGATTCCTTATCGGTCTTTTGTATAGTAACTTTTTACTTAAACAAGTTTGTTCAGTTCAGAACACAAATATTAACCTTTTCTGTATGAATCTGCTATGTTTGGAGAGATTACGAGTTCATGTATTCTGAGAATGTAACGAAGATTCTGTGACAATAATGACCAATAAGCTTGTTATTTTGACGCGTCCCATACCCGCTAACTAGAGAGAGAGAATTCCAAAATCGGTAGAGGGAAATATATTCCACAACCAGCCAGAAACACGAACAATAATAATAAACACAAATCAAGCATATATATACAACATGAAAATGTGCTTGATAAACGGTACAAAATACCATAGCAAAAGAGATAAGGAACCAATAGCATTTAAGTTCCTCGCAAGTGGGAAATACGACATGAGGATGAAAATGAGCACTTTTGGCGCGAAAATGAGAAATTGAAATTTTCAGAATACAATTACAATAATAAGGTATTTACCAAATTAGTTCTAGGGATCTTAGGTCCCCAACATCTCCCCTTTTTAATAACGTACGTTCCTGGGCGCCACTTGCATCTTGACTTGTCACCATTGACGGGGTGATCGTTGGTTGTTTATGTACTTCTTCCTGTGTTGGGACTACAGGTAGATTAGCAGTATCTAACAGGATGTCCAGTGGGAGATTTCCTTCTGTCGATGGGCGAACTGCGTTTAGTCGCTTACGTAGCTTGTTCCGATGTTGAGTCCACCTGTCTCTTCCCACCTCTACCTCGTACATAACATGACGTAGTTTTCCAACCACATCTGCTGTCCAGCGACCATATATATATATATATACTGGAATGTTAATAATTGTCTTTGCCTCGATTCGATCTGACTCTTCATCTGTCTCTGTATTTGCTTGCTTGCACGCATTAGTCTGTCTGCTCAAAAATGTATAACTTAAAGCCTTAAGTATATTAACTAAGTGATTGGTTTTCAGAGAAACATTCTTGGTTTTACTGATTGACGAACATGTGTGTCGATTGTAGTTGGGTTACTTCGAATCAGTACATGAAGTGCGAAATTCTGTCATCTGTTTTATATCAACAGATCCTATTAATAATAAATAAGTATAATTTTATGGATTAACCTAATACTATGTTTTTTTTGTACTTTATGAAACCAGATCAATGATTTTGAAGCATAATGCTTGTATAAGTGTAACTGTAAAACATCATTCACTTGGACATATTGGGATATGTAGAATAGTTCATTGATAAAAGATATTCATTTTGTCATAGTATAGGACTCTTCAACAATGCACATCTACAACCACTGCATTGAGAATCAAACCAAGGACCTTTGGTTTCGTTAACGAATCTTTAATCTCTAGACTATCGAAGTTCAATCCTATTATAAATGCGGAATGTACTCACGGAATACAATGGTAGATGGTCTCATAATATTGCAGATTGATTGAACTTAGGCATTCGAATCAAAGACTGAATATCATAGGTGAGAAACTTTATAGGAAGAATAAACTAGGTGTATAACACTTTCAGATTTGCAATAATTGTCCAACTTTGATCTTTGCATGATCTCATTAAAGTTTGTTTAATTGTTCAGCATCTAATGTCGAAATATCTTAATAATATTCTTCATATTCAAGAATTGCTATTCATTTGATTACTTAATGAAATGTACTAAATGAGTAAAAGGATATTACGGTGTAGTTTAATGTAGTTTTAATAAAAAAACATACTTTTTTTTCTTTTCTTGTCAATTTCCAGATTAGTCAAGAGTTGATTGATATGCTTGCTAATATGGCTCAACAATATGGAATGCAACAATCACGTACAGGTAGTCGTGCTAGTCGTAAGTGAATATTATATTATTATTATTATTATTATTATTTTTCATTGATTATCATAAATATTAACATTAGGTTTTAGTTTCTGTAACAAATAAACTATAACATATGACGTGAATGTGTATATGAATGGTGCGAATGGTCCACCAGGTTGCTTGATACATGTGTGGGGTTGCACCACAGGATTGAGTTGTACTATTCAGATTGTAGCGTTAAAGCCTATACAGTGTCTGGTTCTCCTGTGAAGCAGGATTGAGCCGTACTATTTGAGCTACAAATTTTCAGCTTGGGTAGTGTCTGGCACTTCTGTTAAACTAGATTGAGCTATACTGTTTAGGTTGTCACGTGAAAGTCTGAATTGTGTCCGGTTCTCCTGAGAACCAATGTAAAATTACTCCAGCCCACAAGGGTATATTATATAACTGCATAGTGTATGTAGTTGGGAAGGGTTGGACAATCCACATGTTTATTGTAACAAATAGTTGGAGATGTTAATAAAGAAGTATTCACGACATTTAGTCTTTCTCCTTAAACCTTTAGTTTTAAGATTATTTTGGAACCCAGGACCTTTGGTGTCGCACTCAAACACTGAACTTCAACTAGTCTACGTAATTACGCGACCATCTTCCATTGTACTCAGATCGATACCTGTCTCTAACTGACACATATTAGTTCCACTCGTCATGGCTTCTCTGTAATGATAATACTGTGATGATTTCATCTCATTTATGTTTCTGTATAACATTTACTGTTTTCTGATTGGTTATTATTATCATCATTATTTTATTTTAACTTTTTAATCCTCTTTTATCTCCCAAGGTCATGTTTTGTTTTTACTATACACAAAATTGTTTTCATTCCCAATTTCATCTTTGCTAAATATCATAATTTTCTTTTCTCTCTCTGTCGCTCCCTTTTTGCATTCTAATCTCTTCTTTTAGTGTCTTCATTGTTTGGAGACTATTGTTATCGGGGTTTGTTTTTTTTCTGAGAAAAAGATAGAAAAAGAGTCACACTAGTTCATTCGTAATTAGTAAATTACTTTAATTAACAACATCAAAGTATTATACGAAGTTTTCAAGAATGAATGAAAACAACTAGATTAGTATGATTGATGGTACACACATATATATTTGTGTATATAAAGTTTGTGTGCGTATGTGTGTGGTTATGGTTGTGGTTGTGATTGGAGGGAGAGTTCACATAGACACAAGAACAATAAAGGCACTTACGTTTTTTTTTTAAAAAAATAACATTCAAATAATAAGTTACTATGACAATGAGTTAGGCTACATCTTTTTATTAGTAATCACACTATTAATCGATAAACATTTCATTGCACAAAGAGAGAGAGAGAGAGAGGGTTCACCTCTAGTGTAGGGGTGATAATATATTGAAGAAAAAAAAAGTGATTGAATCTATCATAAATATTATATACACATATAATATTACATGTATAAACATGTGAGCAGAAAATCTTATAAGAATCCATTTATTTACAGCTATATGATTGATATGAATGTCATGTAGAAAGAAAGAAAAAACCTAGTACGTGTTCTGAAGGTAGGTAAGTAGTTAGGTAGGTATTTAGGTAGATAGATGGAATGGAAACACCAGACAAATATAGAAAAAAATACTAATGTAAGCACATCCATATAACACATAGAAACTCATAAAGGATGTATTAGATGAACAAACTAAATATGCAATGTAAATTGTATAAGTCATGTGGAATGTAATTCTGAGTCATGCCTTAAGAATAGATATATGTATATATAGTACATGACGATTGTTATTCTAAACTAATAACTAAAATTTATATTCTCTTCTTATCATAAAATGTTATTCAATAATGAAGCGATAGAGTAAAAGAAAAAAAAAGAATCATAATTAATATCAACGATTGTCTCGTTGGTAGGGTTTCAATTTTCCCGTTATTGTTATATGATGATAGTCTACATTCTGAATGGATTGATTCGATATTACCATTTACACTTATAAGCAGAGTCAGTCAGTCAGCAGCTAAAACGTAGGACCAGGTACATATATGCATCGGTCCAAGTTGCCATACCTCATTAGCACAGCATGATGAGCACCGGCTTGATAAGAGTGGTTAAGTCAATGGTGGCGACTATACCACGTTGAAAGCACCGGTTCTCGTCCGATCACCGCAGTTAAGCAATGTTGGGCCCGGTCAGTACTTGCATGGGTGACCAATTGGGAAACCTGGATGTCGCCGGCTTTTAATAACCCACACACTTATAAGCAGAATTCGATAATGAATGGTAATGGAATCAAGGAATTGTGTTTTGTTTTATTTAAAATTATACACCTAGATGTCATTGAACCTTCAAATCGTTGACATTCAAATTGGAACTCGAATCTAGTATCTTTCGATTCAAACGGTCACTGTGTTGTTTATTGACTTTTTGAGTCTAGACATGTCATTGACATTTGCAATAATGATAAAATATATCCCAGCTGTAAAAGTTTCACTCTTTCCGTTATCGATGCAGGGTAAAAGGTGCGTCGCGGATTGCACTGATAGCCAATATCTAACTTTGTCTTATTATTAGTTTAATAGTGTATAAATATTTGTAGACCCTATAGTAGCTGTTACCTTTATGTTGTATAGTTGAGGTAGTGTATCATGATGACCTAATCAAGCTATATTAGCTGGGATACGTGTTCCAGGAATGCCGGTTGAATGACAATTGGGCCAAAAGATTCAAATTCGAGGTTTAAGGGTGATGTCCTATTGTTGAGTATATTAAGCGTTTGATTGTCCCTCACCCGATACTGCCATGGCATAACGTAAGGAGCGGAGGTCTAGAAAAAGTAGGTTGTAAAAATAATATATCTCACTTTGTCCACTTCGTTGCTGGTGATAAGGCCTCATAGGTATATCCAGTCAATAAATTAAGAACTACCACCAAAAGGCTATATGTGACCAATCTCAAGTAGTTGTCTCTTCTCCTGGGTTACTGAATCATACTGCCAGATGATGGGCACATGCCCACTTTTTTTTCTACTATATGTGCTTCATATGTATATAGTCCTTAGTTTAACGATTTAGTTACACTTGTGTTTTTAATGCTTTTTTTTCTTCAAGGTCCATCAAGTCAAGTTGCTCAACGTTTTTATCGAAGCCTAGTTAATGGTTCTGTATGTGGTTCACCATTTCCAATAACTCCTGTTGGTAGTTCTACTTCGTCAACATTTAACTTTCTTCATACTCCTAACAGTTGTGGCGGAGTCAGTGGAGTAGTAAGCGGTGTCTCTGTAGGAGGCATTGTCACTTGCGAACAAAACAATAATATAACACCATTGAGCTATTGTCATCAAACAAATGGATTAACTACTACCACTACTGATAATAATAGCAGTAGTTATTCCACGTTACCAACTAATCATTTGCATAGTTTAAGTTTCACTCCATTGTGTATTGATGATTTAGACTCATCAACTAGTTTACAAATTCTACCAACTTGTACAAATCATGAATTATTACTGACAAATAATCGTAATTGTATAAATCAATGCGCAATATTGAATCGTCATCATTTTTCGTCATCACCGTCTTCATCCCAATTTATTTCCTCCTCTTCTTCTTCGTCATCATCGTCTTCTTCTTCCTCTACCATATCATCGTTTAATAGTCATACCATCAATAATAATAGTAATACTGTACCGATATCGTCGACAGCATCTGCTTTCTCATTGCACAACTAAAAGTGTTTGTTTCTTGTGTGTATGTGTGTGCTTCAAGCGCCCCCTTCCCTTATTCGTGTGATGATGTACACAAATATGTGTATATGTTTATAATATACATATATGTTGCTTGTTTGCTTTTTCACAGGGAATTTTTCTTCTCTTTATCAGCTGTTTGAATATACAAAAGTGTTTTTATAATTGTTCTTATACTTTTCAGAGAAAAACGATATTCTTAAAATCAATATTTATGCAGTTATTTTATTTATTCCATGTTATGCATTCAATTCTAATGACATTATTTTGCTTATTTACTATTTATTGTTTGTTATATGGAACCGATCATGATTGCATTTGACATTGTGTATGTGAGTATGTATATGTTTGTATGTATCAATGTCTGTGTGACCTCCTGTTTTCTTTTATTTTGGTGTTTATTTTATAGTTTCTTTTGAATTGTCGTTGTTCTCATCTGTTTTTCTTTCTTTTTTTTTCATTCTTTCTCCTTTCTTTCATTACTCAGACACATAATTGAATATACCTATTTTTGCAATTGACCATTACGTGCTTTTGTTCTATCAGTGAATGTGCTCATCACTCAACTACCCTGAACCTTCGCAGAAAAGTCGGCGGGGGGGGGTGAGAGAGTAGGTGCAGTTTTTTTTACAGTTGCTCTTTTTTTCAAACTCTCAAATAAATTGACATCGACTTAACTGATACCGCTATTATCACAATTTTGTTATTGTGGCTCTAGAAACGTCATTGGATTCTTATCGTTTACAGTGTCTTATTTGTTTACGATTGTGTGTACAGAAAAAAATCAGGTGTAAAATGTACATTTCCATTATCTCCTGTTTATTGCCACTTGGATAATGTATTACATCCTTTAATGCATATATGTATGTGTGTGTATGTGAACAGAAACAACATCATGACGTCGGCGATGATGTTGTAAAGATCGTGCTATCTGATGTGCAGTCTCTTAACCTTTCTGTGTTTATTTACTTTCTTCTACGTGTTTTTATATGTATTTCAAAGCCTTTCTCATTAACAATTTCTATTCATTCTGTATTGTACACAATTATATCTGGGACTTTTTTTAATATATACACATGTACTATTTATTGCCCCTTAATCCTACTTATATCCTTATAAGCACTATACTACCCGGTTGATACAATTGATTGATATATTCATTCATTGAAGGTAGATTTTTACCGGTTGTTCTTCATTGTGTATGTATGTGTTCATCACATTTCATCTATCTACATATATATATGTATTAATATCCAGTATTATTATAAATCACGGTGACTAATACTACACCAGTGTTATTTGTCAATTCTGGTTTTATGCAATATCTTTACATTTTATTCTATACATAATGATTATTTATTTGGTCATTTTATATTACAGCGCCAAAAGATATTATGTAAACATTTATTTATTTATTTACTTATTATTATATCCCTGATTATATACTACTACTAGTATTCGACTACCGATTGCGTCCATCTACCCCCCCTCTCTTTCCTACTCTCCCACACACACAGAATGTAGAAACTTCTTCATCTGTATAATGATCTAATTTGCTCGTATATATTAATGTATATCATTCATTCTGTGGTTGATTTGCTTTCATCGTTCCTGTTCTCCTCCCTGTGTTTTCATTTCTCTATTTTTTATTATTTCTTCTCATCATGATATACTGTATACATCTATTTATATATTTGTTTACCACTCTCCTTATCTCTTATTTGTAATATATAAATAATAATATTTTTCTATATGCTAAAGAGATGAAAAAGATTGTGAAACACCAAATAATAATAGTCAATATTATTCTATATGCCTTGTATTTATTTATTTGTTCGTGATTTTTTTCCTCTTCATCATGAATAGTTACTATCTGAAATTGTAGTAATATGATAATGACAATGTGCATGTACGTGTGTGTGTGTGTGTGCGAGCGCGAGCGCGAGCGCAAACATTACTCTAAAGTGGAAAACAATGTAACAATACAAAGACGTAAATAAAGAGAGAGAGAGAGGGGGGCAGAGTGAGCAAAACAACACATACTTATTTAGTGATATGTATTATTATATTGTGCAAAAGGAATGTAATCACAATACCATACTATACAACATACTACTGATGATAATATGGGAAATTTTTATTTCATTGGACAGTGAGAGAGAGAGTAAAAGAAGAAAACAAATAAAATTTATTTATTTATAATATTTGATGATTTTAGGCTTTTATTTTATATATTTTTTATGAATCCCTATCCTATCGTTCCCTCCCCCTACTCCTGTGTCTTTTATATACATGCATTCAATGATTTCATGTTGTATAATTTTTTTCTTTTTTTTGGGGGGGGGAGGAATGAGTTGGTAAATAAATTTTAAATTAAAAAAATTTGTAATTCTAATGTATGGTCTGTATGTGTATGTGTGTAGTTGAGTATATTTTACTATTGTATATGTATTATTACCTGTATATCTCTATAGTATAATATTATGAATGAATATATATGTGTAGATACACACTCACAACCATATGCATATTCTGAGGTACTTCGAGTATCATTCTATTCTTCGGTCTGTTCTTCTTCTTCTTCTTCTCTTTCAAAATTCTGCAAATTTCTCTGTTTTTTTTTTGTTTCTTCTGTACAGATTAACTGAATTGTTGTGATAAAGGAGGGATGTTTTAATTTAAAACTTGTTCAATATTATAGGAACAGTGAATTTTGTATTGATTAAAGCACAACTTATCGATTTATTGAATACATCTCCCAACTGAATTTATATTTCAACGACTAGGTAATGATAGTTGAAACGTATATTCATACTAGTTCATATTAAAAACATTCAAGCTCAAAATCAACTATGTATTTATTATTAATTAATTATAATGAGAATGTATGAAAAATGAATACAGAGATAGATAGATAGAGAGAGAGAAGAGGGTTGGGAGAGGAATAAACAATTTTGACTTTCCTTGGTTTTTCTTTTCATTTCCAACCTTTATAAATTGATAATGTAAATGCTTGTGTGTGTGTGTGTATGTATTTATGCGTTACCCATGTACTCATCCCCTACCTTGAAAATTTAATTTACATAAAATCTACCATATAATTGTAATTCATTACCGGTTAATGAAAATAATACATTATGAATTGCTATGCTTACAATGTTTGTTTGTTTGCCCCCCCCCTTTAGATGAGCCTATTAATCATAGTAATCGTATATAGAAAATTGGTTTTAATATTGTTTTTTTTTTCTAAAAAAAATAAAGAAATAAACTTCTATTGCCTTCATTGTATGTGCATATGTTATTTGTGATTTGAGTAAAGGTTTCTGATAATATGATTATTATAACACAATCATTATAATATATACATAGTTACTGTCACTGTTTTTCTTTTCCTTTTTTCTCTCTCGTTTTTTCCCCTCCCTGTTTTCTCGTTTTTTTTGTTCTGTTTATTTGTTTGTTTATTTATTTGTTTGTTTTTTTTCGGTTTATTCAAAAGAAGCAGAGATTAAATAAATAAGTAAATTGATACATGTACGTATATATATGTATGTATGTATGTATGTATGTATGTATGTATGTATGTATGTATAGTGATGTTGTAATTATTCGGTTTAATTATTGCTAAGATGATCAAACTCCTTTTATAGTAAACAATATGAACATATATATTTATGTAATTAAGGTATTGTCTTTTCAATGTTTGATAATTTCAAAGATTATGTAATGAATAATAACACAAATAGGGACAATTGGATGTTCAGTATATGGGTTGTGTAGATTATTAAGTTTTTGATTGAGATGATCAACTGATTGATGTTAAACCACGGTTAGTTAAGCGTTCACGCGCAAGACTGAAGGCCATGGGTCCGAATTGGCGAGTAGGATCGTGTATACGCATCGCTGAGGAGTCCCAAAATAGGACGAAACGGCTGTCCAGTGCTTTCAGGTTTCCCAAACAATTGAATGTATTTGAACACAAAATTACAGAACTGTACAGTGAATACTTCATTTGTAAAATATTTATTATTTGCACCAAGCTTCGTTTTCATATCAATCATTCTCTTTTCTTTGAACATTATAACCATCTGTAACTAGACATTTCACTTACATTTGCTGATACATACTACTTATGTCTATCGATATCAATAACATACTACTATTATTATTAGTACTGCCACAACAACTGCAGTGAACGAAAACACAAATGGAGACAACCACATATATCTGAATACGAAATGACAGAGTTACTTAGTAAAATTTGTGATATATAGAAAATGCTTCATTTATGAAATGTCAGTCGTCTTGGAATTCAATGTTCTTTTGTTTCCACATCAATCATTCTTTGTTCTCGTTCTCTTCTCTACTATCTTGTCAACCTTCTGCAACCAGACATTTCACTTACGATTAATGATGCCTACTACTTATATCTGTTGACTTCAGTACCACACACCGTAGTAACAGTAAGACATTTCGTTTTGATATTATTCATTACAATCTCATGAACATTGTATATTAGTATGGTTCATTTATTTTCGTATGAAAACAGTCGTAGTGAACGATATTACAGGCGTGGATAATCAAATGTATTTGAATACACAATTACAGAATCTCTTAGTAATTCATTTGCGAAATCTTAATTCAACATTTCAGGCTTCATTGTTCCTTTATTTCCACAGTAGTCATTCTCTTTTGTCCTTTTAACCTTCTGCCTGTAAGCATTTCACTTTCTATTGTTCATGTTTCTATACACGTGATATCATCTGGTCGATCAGGTTAAATTAATTAGTAGAGGAATAAAATTGAAGTCCGTCTTATATTGTGTTTGAAAGTGAGACACTGTAATGATTATGTTTCATATCTATATATTTGTGATGAATAGATTATATGCAACACACAGTCTGGAAGATTTATTGATCTACCCAGGTTGGTAAATCATATTAGCATTGCGAAATGAACTTATGGAGATAAATACCAGTGTTTGTAGGAATGATTAAGTCTCAAAGAAAAGAAATGATTAGAAGGTTTCCATTTCTTGATCTAAAAGATAAAAAGTAACTAACTGCTTCGCTGCGTACAATATCGCGCAAACTATTGTTCATGATAATCATGCGGAGCCCAACACTGCAGTTTACGCATATTAACATACCTCAGTTCAATTATTAGTTGGTTTACAGACTGGTGTCACATATTGGTTCGGTCATCCACTAACTTTAATTCTGCATGAGACAGCATCCCACGTCGAGGCAATAGGTGTTGTCTTTGTTGAGCCCCTTGCATCTAACTTCATTATTGTTCGATTGATGGATCCAGTACTCATGAACAATGATTCGAATGAATTTTTAACCGAATAGTTAATTCATCCTTTGTTTGATATACTGGCATTTCGCCCGCACCACCGGTGATGTAAGTTGGTAAATACCAACCGAGTTTTCTGGAGCTGCTGAGATTTTGTTAGACACTTGACCATCAGGTCCAATGATATTTTCAAGCTAAATAACGCTAATATATTATTGCACACAGATCCTCACAAATTGATTTATTCAGCATGACCCTGCATGATGATCTCAAGGGCAATACAAATCTATCAATAGCTTACTTTTCAAACAAATGGTCAACTCGGTCACACCCCATCTCTTGAATCTTGGTTCAAAATCCTCTACAAATAGAAAAAGAGGTTTGGATAAGGAATTTGTGTATAGTCGGGGTTATAATGATCTACTATATCAAACGCCAACTCATTGTTCAGAAAGGTTATGTTCAATCCTCCATTCTCCTATGATCTTAAAAATTATAAGTACTGATTATTACCTTCTCCTCCACTAAGTAGACAGTTATCTTTATTTTTTTCTATAGATTATTTATTACATAAAGTAAGCTCCTGTTGAAGTTTGATTTCCTCATTAGCGTTTTTTTAGTGAGTTCGTTTTCTACGGGATGGGGTCACTAACCTTATGCCCAACCCTCCTTTATCCGGGCTTTGAACCACCAGTAGCCCCAGGGGGGGCTGTAGGCAAAGTTGAAGTTTGGTTATTTTTAACTAAATTGTTTAAACATTTATAATAAACTGAACAGTCAAGTTTTAATTCTACATTAAGTCTTCATTTCAACTTGAATCATCTCTAAATGATAAGGTAATAGAGGCTCATTTTTTTAAGGTGTAAAAAATGCTCTGGGCTACAATAAAATTCATACACATTAAACGATCTAGTGGCTATCTGAACTTAGTGGATAATAAGTTGATATTTGAAATGAAAGTTTTTAGATTACAATCTTAATGTGATCATCAACACTGAGATGCAGATAAATTAAACTGACTAATGCCAAATAAGATGTAACTTATGGTCTATATTCCATTGAACCGGTGCTTTTATTGTGGTCTTAGCCATGTTGGTAGATGCAGACTACTTGGTTGGGGTCCGCGTGACTATCGTAACCAATGATTGGAGACTCCGGGTGAAATTGCCCAGAATCGATCACAATGATGTAGGTGTATATAATCACTGTCTTCCCTTAAACTATGAGATTAAAACCGCATCATATCTTTCTACATACTAATTCTTTCTTCCTGTACTATGTCCTTATATGCAATCTTACTTCTACATATTACCACCACTAAGTTAACTACTTCTATGAATCCGGTGTTCATCTTGCTGTGCTAATGCGGTATGGCAACTTGGACCGATGCATATATGTGCCTAGTCCTACGTTGTACCTGACTGACTATATTCCATTAATGGTTATTAACTAAGTTGATCAATGTATGATGAATGTATTCTATTTTTCATAGCTATACTTCTTTCAATCAGTTGGAACAAATCAACAACAATATGTGTGTAGAATAAGAAATTCATCATGTTTTTTAAATTTAAAAGGTTAATTATAATCAGGTAGTTGTAAACAACAGTTTAAAGTTCCATGGAATAATACTGTTTTTACTTACACCTGTTACTCCTTGTGGAAGAGCATCGAAAGCATAGGAATAATACTGGCATGATCAACCAGTTTATTCATAGTTATATAGTATACACTTGTGGGCTGGAGTAATTTTACATTGGTTTTCAGGAAAACTAGACACAATCCAGAATCTCACGTGACAACCCGAACAGTCAGCTCAATGTAGTTTGACAGGAGAGCCAGACTTAACCCGGGCAGTACAGCTCAATCCCGCTTCACAGGAAAACCAGACACTGTATAGGCTTTAACGCTACAATCTGAAAAGTACAACTCAATCCTGTGGTGCAACCCTGGTGGACCATTCTCACCATTCATATACACATTGATGTCACATGTATAGTAATTCCGATCAATGATCGCGTGATTAAGAATAATGCAGATTAAAATTTAAAAACATCTGACAAATTTCGGTTAATGAAATTTGTATAAATGTTTGATATGTAATGTAAAATAATAATAACATACTAATTCTGATTCGTGTGTATCTATCAATGTCGTCAGGTGAACAAGAATATGTCTGTAATACAGTATTTCCGTCTAACTATCCTCCAGAGTAATACTATATGCTCACAACAAAAGGAAGGTGTCGTTCACGAGGTATACGTGCCTATAAGCCCGGAAATAACACATCGAGAAATACACTGCTGATAGCTCTATATAATCGGCCTTGAGCAGTTGTCCTTTAGAGCCTTTAGTAATATTTACAGGCATTTCAGACCATACTTAATGCATATTCTTATTTAAATACCTCAAGTGGAAGTATATTTCTTCGGTTTAGGCAATTGAGGATTTACAATTTCCCGCATACATCTAACGAAACTTGACACTTATTAATTGATGCCTAAAAGAAGACAAGGTTTTCACAACCGTAATCATTGATCACCTACATAGGTAGTCAACATGATACTGAATATCTTTTAAGCATTCAGAATAATTAAAAAGAAGTGGATAACACTCTTATCATTCTTTGCTAAGGTTTTTAGCATCAAGAATTTACAATTCATCGTTATAACTCTCTGTATGTTATATCAAACGTCTTTACGCATTCTAATTTTGACTTGGATTGTAATACTGAGAACGAACTATCAATCACTGGGTCTCCCGTTTGAGTTCCACTCCACTTAATTAAGTCCAATCACAGGAGTACTACATGCTCTCAAGTGTTAAGTATGGCTCAAAGCAGTTTACAAAAATTTTTGCTTGATCAGTTAGCGTTACTAATCATATCCATTAACTGTGCATACAATTATTAGTAAGAACAGCTTCCTTTTACCTACAGTATGTGACTAAATATTGAGACAATTATAACAGATTTACATAATATCATGTTTACATTTCAAAAATGTATCTCGATTCGCTCAACTGAAGTTCATCATCAGGATGAGGATTCTTGGAGATTGTAGTAATTTTCATAGTTGAATTCATGATTCGATCTAAGCTAGGTTATCATTGGAATCCTGGATGCACTGGAGGGTAGTTTCTTCCTAGTATGGGACTCCACATTAGTGTGCATCCATGAGAAATTGAATTCAGCTAATAAAATTACTACAAACCCTCATTCTTATAACAATCATCATGTGCTTACTAGTGACTAGTTTTAAGATGGATTTCTTGGGGTTCTAGTCAGAAGTCGTGACCAGTAGAGTCTAATCTGTCTCGACTGGAGATAAGTATCTACCTCAGATAATGAATGAATGGTTGCGCAAGACCATGGATCGATTGAAGCTAAAGTTTATTAATTTTTTTGTAATTCAAAACGCGTTTCGTCCCATTAAGGATTCGTCAGCTGTATGTGCAATGTATTTCATTTATGTCTATCGACATAAGTAGTATGTAACACTGATGAGAAGTGGAATGCCTGGCAACATAAAGTTTAGAAGATCGAATCAAAGAGAACGAAAATTGAGAGTAGTTGTAATAGCGATAAAGGGACGATGTCATTTGAGACAATTGATGGATGACTTGCAAATGACGTATTTGATGCATGGTTTTCACATTTTATGAAACAACTTTGTAATTATGTGTTAAGAAACAAATTGGTTTTCTCCACCTAAGTTCTCGTTCACTGTAAATGCACCTGCATCTTAGTATTGACGGTCAATTCAGAACTCAATCTTATTACCCTTCTACTTCAAGCACCAATGCGTAATCTATTTAGTTACTGTGTGCTATAACTTGTGACCTGTGTGCCCTGTTTATTGTGTAACGTAACGATACTGCCAATCATAGAGCAGTGTATTATCGATCGGACCAGCGACGCATAAAATCCGTACGAGCAGTCAAGAGTCCTTATTGGCCCTGCTTCGTGTCTAGCCCAGCCAGTTAA